CTGGCACCTGGGTCCCAGCGTGTTCCCACCGGAGCTGTCTGGGAAGCTGCGTCAGTCGTGGTGGGTGCAGAGCTTACAGAGGCCATGGCTTTCTGCCAGGTGGATACCATTGCTCCCTGGTCCACCTGGCAGAGCTTCAGCGCCCTTCTGCATGCCCTTCTGCATGAATTGCCATGCAAACTGCTGCGCACACCCTGGCTGACACGCCGTGCCCTGTTTGCCCACCCTGGTTGCAGCGCTCCTGGTTGCCTGCACTCCCCAAGGGCTTCTTTTATATGCGGGGTAGGAGATCATCCAGGTCTCATCAGCTGCTGTGGGAGCTACTGGCAGCTCTCTCAGCTCCCCCAGAGGTTCCCCTGGTTCAAGAACCCCCAATGTGCACCATGCTAGAGCGCTGCGGGTTGTGCTGGCACTGGAGCTGCTCACCTCAGCGACTGAGAACAAAGCTGATATGTCAAAGGCTGCTTCACCATGCTACTGGCAATATGAGCTCATACAAAGTACTGTCTCTTTCAGAGTTAACAGGGATAATCAAGTTCATTTGCAGCCCATGTAACTCAGTTTAGTAAGTCACCAAATACTTGACTTCATAGTTTTATGCTGAAAAATTCTATCATTTGAGCAAGGAGGGAAGCTGAGAGAACTGTGAGTAAAACCAAAGCCTCAAAGATGGCTTCTCTGAAGCTGCTAATGTCATCCAGGATAAGAGCTTGACAATAAAAAAGCAAAAACATTGGGTAAAAGCATAAGCTCTCTTACAGTGAAGTACCATTTTCCTCTACAAACACAGCCTGTCCTTTTATTCCTACAAAGATTATTTTCTGCCTCTTCAAACAGTATTCCTTGCACAAAGATCCAGCTTTCAATCTCTATCTGCTGAGGAAGAAATGGGTTAGGGTTACCGCTACCTGACACCAGGCATAATTCTTGTGCTTCTGCTTACTACTTGGTAAAAATGAAAACTTGCCTCAAAATTGAAATTTTTTATACAAAACTGAATCACTCTATTGGGTGCTGGTGCCCAGGTGATGGCAGCAGGGGGCTGCACAAGTGGCCTCCATGAGGAGAGGATGGGGCTGTCCCAGACACTGACAGTTCCACCAGCTCCAACGGAGTCACCACAGGGCATGAGTCAGGCTCCTCTGGGAAAACGTATTTAAGAAAGCGAAAAAAACCCTTGCTCAACAGCTGAGAGGAAAAATGTGAAACTACCCTGCAGTCATCAAGGTCAGAGAAGAGGGAGGGGAAGGAGGTGCTCCAGGCACTGCAGAAGAGACTCCCCTGCAGCCCCTGGAGAAGGCCGTGGTGATCCAGGCTGTCCCGCTGCAGCCCGTGGAGAAGAGCCCAACCAGGAGCAAGTTTTCTGGCAGGAGCTGCAACCCCGTGAAGAACCAACCCACACTGGAGCAGTCTGTTCCTGAAGGACTGTACCCCATGGAGAGAATGCATGCAGTTTATGATGGAGGAACCCATGCTGGAGCAGGGGAAAAGTGTGGGGAAGAAGGAGCCGCAGAGACAAAGTGTTATGGACTGACCACAACCCCTGTTCCCCATCCTCCTGCACTGCTGGGCAGGGAGAGGAGGTAGAAAGGTCAGGAGAGAAGGAGTAAACTTGAGCCTAGGAACCAGCAGTGGGTGGAGCAAAGGTGTTATTAGATTTGTCTTTGTTTCTCACCATCCTACTTTTTTTTTTTATTATTGATAATAAAGTAAATTAATCTTCTCTCAATTTAGTCTGTTTTGTCTGTGATGGTAATTGCTAAGCAATCTCCCTGTCTTTATCTTGACCCACAAGATTTTCTTATTTTCTCCCCCTATCCTCTTGGAAAGAGGCAACCAGGAGCAGGTTGGTGGGTGTCTGGCAGCCAGTCAAGATCACCCCCCTCCAGACACACTTCCAGCCACAGGAGTTTAGTTTTTCTATTGGTAGCCCTTAATTATTAGCACAATGTTCACAATAGGAATTTCAATTATTGGACAAATAATCAAGAAGATGCAAAATGCTATTTAAATGAAAAAAGTTAACTCCATATTTACCTCCAAGGCCTGCATTCTCCTTAACAGCATTTTATGCTCTTCATTCTTGATTTTTTCTTCATAGAATTCCCGAAATGTCATTTTGTAGACTAATTTCATACCATGCTGCTTCGCCATTCTATCAAAATAATAAGCTTAATTAGGGAAGCCACAAAATTATTGTAGTTTTATTTTCAAAGGAACAATTTTAAGCCACAGTGACATCTTATGGTATTCACTAGGATTACACTCCTTCTAGAATTCTTTTTTTAGTAAAAACTAGGTGAAAAAAGCTGCACTCCCACCACCACAAAGTGCACTTTTTTTTAATTAGGACCACAAAAATTTACACAGAAGTAATTTACAAACATTTTAATAGAAAAACGTCTCTTCTCCCAACACACAGAATTAAGTTCCATTTGAACTTCCAGATAGACTCCGCTATTTTTCCTGCATATCATCACCCTGTCACGTCAGATATTACAGATATATTTACAGACCCTCTTTCTACTAGATTTAGTGCCTTACATCTCAGTTATATGTAGACACTGCAGTCATACAATGCTGGAGTTACAGATGTCAGTGACAGATGCTGGTATCTTTCACCGAGAACTACAAATGAAATGTGTGAAAATATACAGGTTTGAAGGGGAAGCTTAATATTGTTTAACAACCACACTGAGCTTGAGTGTCAGGAAAAACCCCAACATGGAAACATTTCTCTGTACCTCAGGAGAAAGGATGGGAAAGGCAAATCTGAATTCACACAGAGGTAACAGCAAAATGTATGCTCACAGATGAAGAAGATTTAGAGGAAGAAAAAATAAGTTGTAGGAAAAATCCTACAAACATCCAAAGAAAGTTGGAGAGGACAAGACAGAGGCACCATGGTGAACAGGATACCCATAAAGGCTCGCTGAAGAAGAAAGGTAGAATGAACCTCCCCAAAAAAGTTAAGATTAAATAATAAAAAGAAGACAGCATTAAAGGTTTGCTGACAGATCCAACATATTAGATACATTCTCGTGTGAGACCTAGTTTAAGTCTTCACAGCTTCTGACCAGAGCACCTTCAACTGAGTGCAATGGACAGATGACAGTTGTGGATGGAAATGCGACAAAACTCTTCTTCTTTTTTTGCTGTTGCTCCAAATGTGAACTGAAAAATATAGTAAGAAAGCCAAAATACAATTTTCTGCAAGTATTATGCAATGACATACAAGCTAAACAAATGCTTATCATGTTTCACAGCTTTCATTGTATAATGAATTCAAAACTTAACTTACTCTTCCAGTAATGGAAAGTAAACCAAGAACTCTGGGACATCAACAACTTCTTCCAAGTGGAAATCATACTTGCAACCAAACAAGGGATATTCTCCCTTCTTTTCAAATTTTACACTATACACTTCATTCCCAAATGAATTTGTTTCTGAAGCTTCAAGTCGCTTTCTATAAAATGAGATATAAACAAACATTAAGTGACCAGTTTTTAATTTAACAGGCAGAGAAAACTCCCAGTACTACAGCATTCAATGATCTCTGTAGTTTCCCACCTCCCTTATGTAATAGGGCAATGCAACAGTGAAATGAAGAGAAGCAGCATGTTAGGTTTTAACAGTTCATCATTCCTATACAACATGCCAAGGACTAAATGGACCTAGAAAATTAACCTTTAACCTAGACAGTGTCTACATGGACAAGTCAGGCTTCTTGGAACAACCACAGCAAAACCCTGACAGTTACTCCCCAGGCTGTCACTACTTTGCCACTATTTAACTCACTACAGAGCATTTATGTATGAAGATCTATACTCTATACCAGGAGAGCCATGTTTGCAAGCAACAAGGATTAGTACGGGTTTACCTGTTTGAGTCAAGTTCCTGAGTGAGATTTTCCTGACCAGAATCCACAATTGTTGCAAAAAACTTGCTTTTGTTTGCACAAACATATCAGAGCACGGTAAGAATGACTATCACTTAACAATGCCTCACAGCCTTTTGAAAGGCTAACAGAATGTAAAAGTACTTACACAAGTTCAAAGCTATTTGGAGTTGTACCAATGAAATACCCTCCAGGAGCAAGGTTCCCACAAGCGTTTTTAAGCATCATGTCAGCCTGCTCATATGTCTCAAATGAGTAATGGTAAACAAACTGACAGCTGCAAATGTCAAAGCGTATATCTGGATCATTGTATTTGGAAGACAAGAGATCCTGAAATAGATTTAAAAGAAAAAAAACGCAAAAAAAGCTACAGAAAAAACAATTATTCACTTAAATCTTCCAACAAATCATGCTACTTCCGTAATTCTTTGAAGTTTTCCCTTTCAGCCCCAACTCCTTCACAAGTTCAACAGGAACATGATGAAAAAAGAGTAAAATGTCCTCTGCTACACAGAAAACGATACATAACATTTGTGAACAACAAGAATACGCATACACATTTCAAAGTTATCATGTCCTCAAATTCTTTTCATGTTGTCAGGTAGCACCACTACACCTGAAAGGCCAAAACCCACTATTAGTTACCTAATCTTTTCCAGAGATACTTTACTGCTTAAGGTTTATAACCAGCCACCATTCAGCTGGAAGCAATTACTATAATAAAAGTAATTTTCAGTTTACTAGGTTTCTGTAATGAGAACTGATGCATTAAACATGTAATTGAGAGGAGAAGGAGTTGTTTTAAATATGGCAAATTGCCTGTCCACCAAGTTGTATTTGTCTGTATTCTCACACACATATGTACATGTGTACCAACATACTCCTCCCCACCCCAGACCAAGTAACCAGTAACTCTGGAGAGCTTGAAGCACTTGAAATTTGTCAGGTGAAAGTTTGCCACAGTTTGACCCTGTGCTCAGCAGTTCTCTAACTCTTCTTGATCAGGCTTCTTTTATACAACCTAGTAAGGCACTATAAATAACATCGGAGCACAGAGGTTCTCCCCAAGGCCCATGATACGCACTCCGTACTTAAAATATATCATACTGAACAGTTCTACCTGAGTTTCTCTTCTCTCCCAGACTTCCCATCCACCCACTCACTTTCATTCTCTACCAGTTCATGCCACATACTGTCAACATTCCGTACGTGGCAAGGCAAAAATGCACACTTCACATTTATCTGTTCATTTACTCCCTCTCCGCATTTTGAGAAACAGAGAGAGAGAGAGAGATACAGGAAACTGAGAAACAAAGGTGGGCATAGTTGGACAAGCTGTGAAAAAGAGATTTTGCATTATATACAACATAGATGATAGCAATACAAAGTCAGGGAGTCCCTGGACAGACAGAACAGAGCGTGCAACAGAAAATACACGTGTAGATAAGACTGAGCTGCAATAGCAATGTGAAAATATCCCTTTGTCTCCAAGTCAAGGCTCCCTCCTCTCTCCCCTGACCGTAATTTAGAGCTGAGAGAGATGACCTGGAACCTGCAACAGACTGTATTCCTCAGAAGAAGGGGAGGCAACCAAGAATTCAAGCCAACAACCCTTCCTGCAAGGCTGGGAAGAAGAGTTTCATCCTTCCCACATGTAGGCTGGAAGCAGGTAGGCTCCGTCCCTCAGCCTGCATCAGCAGGGCACTCTCAGTCTGCATTTCTAGGAAGCAAAAGTAGTGCTCATTACAAGACTACCTCCTAAGCCTCAGCGATGTAATCAATATTGCCTCCAGACAGTCTATGAAATCTGCTCTATCACGCAACTTTTGAAGATACGTATTATATATATTATATCTATATTTATATATTATATTATATAAAAATACTGGGATACGCAAAATGTACAAGTCAGATCAGAAAATGTCCCTTATTCATTCCAGCATAAAAAAAATTCACCAGGATAGTTTGCAACATTCCATGCTGGCTCCCAGAACTCCAGATGTAATCATTCCCTTCCTCTTCTCAAGAGAAAGAAACTGAAATCAGATTTATTATCTGAAAAAGACATTCAGGCTTCAAGAATGCTACACCATAAAACAGTAACAAAACACATTTAACTACGTCTCAGTAACCTGTAAGGTTGATTCTCCTGACAGTACAACAGTCTGATCTCAAAAATATACATGCCCTAAACATTACAGCACTAGCATCACTCCCTATACTTGCTTAACACACAAATGTTAAATCTCAAAAATATTACAAAGCATAGGGACTGTACCTTGGTACTATCTGCTTGTATAAATTCTGCATCAAAAATACGTTCATTATAACGACATCGGGCTCTCATGTCTTCGTATCTCTGCTTGCACTGTTGCACAGAAATGTCAGCAATATCTAGAGAAATTAAAAAAAAAAAGTGTGTAAACTGCTCCCCAGACAAGAAAACTGGAATGATCACTGAACACAGCAGATCCATTACATCAGGGACAGAAGTTCATTTTCAGTTATACTTTGATGGGAACAAACACTTTTATTTCCAATGTGTAGAGAAATAATTTAATTTGCAGGAGGCGTTTGGGATTGTAACTTTCTCTTTTTCAGTCTTTATTTCAAACAAAAGTTGTAATCTAAAGATTTCAGAAAGCTCCCATCCTGAAAAGTGCAAAGCAAGCCTCCAAAATTTCAAGCAATGGATACTAGGTGATTGAGGTGATTGATACCAAGTGCTATTAGCATGAAGCGTCTGGTATGCATTAGCTAAGGCAGTTCAGCTCCCAGAGTTTTCCAACAGTACTGGAAGCTCTTCATCTTCTTATAAATATAGAAATTGTTGAAATGCAATTATTTGTCATATATGCTGATGTTGCATCATGAGAATTGTTTTATTTCATTCTTAAGGCTCTTTCTTTCAGACATAGTTTCACTGAATTATATTAAAACTAACAATATGCAATAAATTGACATAAGAACTTTGTAAGCAAATTCATTAACTGTATTTGAAGACTGCCAACAGAAAAAGAAAGGCAAGAAAGAACTGTAAAATGTAGAGTACCCAGAATAATTCCCACTAAAGGGAGTTTTACGAAATTTTACTATCTGTTAAATTAGAAGTTAAGTAATGCTTCCTCTGATTATCCTTGGTATGCTTTTTGGGAGAAAGGAAGATGATATCCCCTTCCCAACATCTAAGTAAACTACTTAAATAAAAAATTATTTAATTGGGCCAATGTGGGGTTTGTTTGATTTTTTTTTAATGTAACTGTTATATGCATATTTCCAGAACAGTTAAAAACACTACAAGAGATTAGATGTGGGAGAAAATACATAAAATACAAAATGTCAGTCTTTTCCCCAGTGTTACACTTTGCCCAAGACAACCTGTGATAATTGTGCATTTCTTTACTGATAGCAGTTTTTATTTATGAGTTGAACTGAAAGCTCATTACACAGAAAATCAATGGTTCTTACATTTATGCTGGCAATCAAGTTGATGTCTTCAGGTTAAAAGACAAAACAAGACTTTCTGACATAAAGTATATCACTGCATTCTTAGGCTTACTAAAAAAGGAAATAATAAAAGACTGGAGATGTGCTTGTTTTTCCCATAAAACACTGATATACTTCCCTAGAAAGATACTGTGTCTTCTTACCAGTACACACAAGTTTTTTAATTCTGCCTTTTTTCCATTTCAGTAAGTCTCCACCTTTGCCACATCCTAGATCCAAAACAGTTATATCATTTTTTTTCCGTCGTACCCGGTCTATAAATTCACCTAGAAAAATAAAAAGAGAAAACACATATACAGGTCTCTCTAATTCAGTTGTATTGTACAGAGATCCCTAAAGGACCAAAAGGGTTTGAGGATTTTAAAACATCTCAGAATTTACTTTACCTCTAAGTCGTCTTAACATTACAGACTTAAATCTCTTTTTCTAGAAAGCACTAATGATGAAAGCTACCACAAACTTTTAAAACTATGGAGAAGGTAAGGAGTAATTTCTGTGCTTAATGTGCTTTGCATGTAATGTGACTGGGGCTCTGAACTGTTTCCCTGGCAGACAAAGGCAAAACTGCACATCAGTGAACAACCACCTCGTGCCCGAGTGGGGAAACAGAATTCCCTTTCATTACCATTATAATGAAGGCAGATGCTATTTGGAAGTACAGGAAAGCCTTTTGCAAAAGAGTAAAAGCCAGTTCAAGGCAACAGCCACAACTTTTCCTTGCTGTCACATTACAAAAATGCATAATGTTCTCCACTCTCCTAGGCCTCTGCAGTAACATGAGCTACTTGTTTGCTGTCTTTTTACCCTACATATACCAATTTTTACATATACCAATTTTCTCTTCTGACTCCACTCTGTCTAGATTATCTCTGCTGTGACTGATGTTGGCGTATTATGCAAAACATATCAGCATGCTAGCAACTTTTCTTCACAGTAAGAGACATGAAATATGTTTGGATACAACTGCTATAATGCCACACTACTGAAATTCATCATGACTGAAAAGCTTCAACACAGGCTCCAGGGAAGTCTTTATATAAACCTAAATATTGCTTCTAAGTGCTCTGATACAACACAACAAAAAGCTGCATGGTTAAGACAAATGGTGCCAACAACTCCTGGCATGGATCCCTCTTCATGAATCTGTGGTGGTCTGCCAGTAATTCTTTTCTTTGTTTGGAGATATCTGATGGTTTTGTTTCCTCACTTTGGAATTAATTTGTGGGATAGCAGACTTTGCCTTTTATAAAAAGCTGCTGATTCTTAAAAAACTACATCCTCTAGTTTTTCATCTTTTTAAACTGTTGACTATGGCTAATACAGAAAATAGTTATGTATTCAAGTTTCCTACAGAACTGCTTAATCTAGACCTAAGGACAGACTGCTTTGGTAAAAATGGCTATGAAATTATTTGAGATAGATTTAAATAACAAGAGGAGATAGATTCTTTATGATTTAAAGCTGTAGCCTTCTCTTTAAAAATGTCATGAAGAACAACAGTTTCCAGGATGAACTTTCTCTATTTGTCAGATCAGTTGATCTGTAAAACTTTGGCACATATTTGGCACTCCAACGATATAAAACACTATCACAAAGATTCAAAATAAAAATAAATATAGATATTTTATTGCACTTGAAAATCTTACTATGTATTAAGAGAAAGTGCCATAATTAACATCAGAAAGCAGGGAAAATAAATTACATTTTGATACAAAAATTAGTTACATTTTATTAAAGCCTAAGCAATCAATTAAGGAAGCTCACCAATGAGGACACTCTTTGTCCAATTATTAAAGTTTCGGAGGTAGAATATGCGAGACTGGCTACGTTTCTCCAATCCAACTTCTTGAAGTTCATTATAATGTGCAGCTACAGCTTGCCCATGGCCTGTCTCATGCTATAGAAACAAGGGAAGGAATAGACTTAAGCAGTGAATTCTATTACTTTTTAATTTAATCAAAAGACCTGTGTTCACTTTGAGCATTTAAGAAAGTAAACAAGTAATACTATGAAGAGCGCCATCATTATATATATATCTGTCCGTATCTGTCCTAGTACTCACATCAGTACTGCAGTTACCACAGAGACAAGTCCCTTAATCCCCTTTTCAGCTGGTCCAAGTAATTTCTGATGGATGATGCCCAGGATCTTTCCTTCACAGAAACACTTAACTTTCAGTTCTCTAACACTCTCACCACTCTCAAAAAATCAGTTTCATTCCCCTTAAACCTGGGATTGAAGAAGAGGATGTTCCTTCTCCAGGAACTTCAAACGTCTTCAAAAATTCTGCTTCAGAAATTCAGCGTTTACATGTAACAGAAATGTATAAACTGCCCATGTAACCAAAGCACCAACTAGCTGATGTTGCTAGTCCCTAAGTGGATGATCCCACTGCCAGAGCTTCAAACCGACCATGTTAAGGAAATGATAGTAATGATTTGACAACAGTATCCCATTTAACACTTAACAGTTAGCTGTAGAAATGTCTGTTTTAGCCTTAACTGTGAATACTCCAAGAGATTTCTGTCCCATGTGACACAAAGAAGCAGTCAACATCCAGATATTATGCTCCTAAAATCCCTTCGCCTTGAAAAGAATCTTCAGTTATATACATGAAACTAGAACAAATTATAAATAAAATACAAAGTAATAGAACAAGGAGAACCAACACAAATTCTGTGAGGCACAAAAGTTTTTGAAATAACAGTACAAACCAGAATGAAGGATTCTCAGTTAAAATCCACAAACATGCCAAAGCCCCAGCCAGTATGAATTCACACAGCAATTAAAAGCATTCCCAACAGTTGACTACAAGAGTCATCCCAATATCTTATTATTTAAACAGCAGTTTCTCAAGGGAAAAGCAGGTTTGAGTGACTTTAGTATACTACATGAATTCTTCAGCATTTCATATAATTTTGGTAACCTTCAGAATGAACACAGACATACTTGTCTGAAATTTCTAAGGCCCCATCATCTGCTTATCACCACACCCATCTAACTGATACTAACAAGTATCTACCACTTCTAGCCTTTTTTAGGCTAAGCACAGATTGCTTCCTGAATGGCCACTGAAGGTGACGCAAGCTAGAATGGCTGACTTTGACAACTGTGGGGGACTTATTCATACAATCAATTAATGCATCTCAGCTGCTGCAACAGCTGTCAGCACTAACATCTAGATGCTGGCAGCTGCGTTCAATGCAATCACCTCTCTACACCCTTAAGCTATGCAAAAATAATGTATTTCTTGTCCACCTAAACCGTACCCCAGAACTACCTTATTAAAAAGATTAAAGGGTTAATAATGTTTCTACCACAACAAAGGACACCCTTTATTTTAGCAGATTTCTTAGCCATAAATTAACATCCTCGAAAAATTCTGAACAGAGAAACAAAACATCAGGTCAAAGATGTTTTCAAATTATACTCAAATATCCCAAAAGTTCAAAATTAGACTGGGTATTACAGCATCAGTTCATACAAGCTCATACATAATAAAAGACAGCATCATATAAAACATTACTCTTTTCACCCTCCCAGTTAAAAAGACAAATATTTTCTGCTACTCCTGCAGTCTTAAAAAAAACCCACATCTGTAAACCTTTCAGTACTTCACTTTGCTATCAAATCATACTGAGATTATATCACAAAGGATGCAGTTTATAGAGTTTTCTAAATTATACAATACCTTATTGAGGAAATTAAAGGACAAAATTATCTTATGGAAGAACCTCCCATGCACAGAACTATACTAACACACAAGATAAAAACATAGAAAACTTATCAACTCAAGATACGGGACTCAGACTAATGCCAGCAAACCCTACACTACCAGATTGTTACCAGATCAGACAATGGAACAATAATCTTAGAATTAGACTAAGCATGTGCTGAGATCAGTTTTCGTAACATTCTAATTACTAGCCATCTTTCTCTTCCGTTAAACGCATCATATCTTCTGCACTTTGCTAGGAAGTTACTCACAAACTTTTGACATTTGATGTTGTGCTGGTTCACATATGTTTAGCATAAATATTTTCAATCCTTTATTGAGCTAAGGCTTTGAAACAAGGATTTGAACATAGTTCAAAGTAAATGATACTCACTACTTTCTTAGGTGGTTCATCTTCAGAATCTACATTCTTCCTTTTTGCTCTGCCATCCTGATTAACACTATCAACTTCTTTTTCATTTTCAGTGGAGTGCACTGTACCCGAAGTTGAACTATCGCCTTCCCAACTGATACCTGAATCTGCCTCTAAAGTAAGAGGTGTTTTCTCCACTTCTTCATCCAAACTCTTCTCTACTTCCTGTTCGTCTGTCTTGGTTAGATCAGCCATTTTTCACAGGTTAATCCCTTTATCCGTTGATCAGAATGGAAATCTACAGAGGAGGTGGGGAAAAAAAAAAACACAAACCACCAACTATTTTCAGTGTTGAATTTCACTTATTTCTGGTTACGGTCATGACTTTCAATCATATTTCTGGCATTCTAAAAAAAAAACATGCCTTTGCCCTAGACAACATATAGTCTTCAAATTTGATTAGTTAATTTATTAAAGATAGCAGAAGATGTGGAATTTCAAAGTACTCTCACTATAATAAGATCAAATTAAGATAAATCTTTACTTCTCACATTTCAGTCTTTCTTAGCTATCTTTACTGATTCAACTGCAAAATGTTATTGTTTTTGAGCCTGTAATCTCCCTTTTCACCTCCCCATAGAAAGGAATCCTCAAATCACTTTATATTTAGAAACACAAGCTGTCAGAGTCCCTCAAATTAGTAAATTCACTACTTAATGTGATATGCTTACAAATGGATGTCTGAAAAAAAAAAAAAATTAAGGTATTTTTTAAGAGCAACTTTTCATATCAGTTGTGGATTTTCAAGTTTGCCAAGAATATCCACTATGTCTCAAGTTTCACTAAAACTAGGATTATTCAGCTGTAATTGCATTTCTGTATCTTATCTTCACAAATATCTATACATTCTGTAGGACAGCAAATCACTGCCATAAAGCTCATTTACTCTACAGCACATCCCAGCCTTCTCTGCACCATCGCCAGGAAGCTGCGCTCTTACTTTTTAATAAGGCATAGAAGAGAATTATTTGGCAACTCCTGTTCTAAAACAGTGGCCTATTTCAGTCTAACAAAAACCATGCACGCTCCATTGTATCCAGGCTCCAGTCTCCTAACGAAGGCCAAAACACGCCCGTTCAGTGGACCCCTACGCAGAGACCCCAGCACAGCTTTCTGCAAACCAGAAGGCCTCCAAGCGCGACTCAGAGAAATAACTCTTGCGCTGCGGGGCAGCACCTAACCAACGCCTCCGAAGCAGCACACCCTTTCTCATTTTCCCTCGCTCGGCTGCTTCAAGCGCTTTACCGGACGCTTTTAAGGTCTAAATTCAGAACCGCTCAGAATTTCAGAACCAGCGACCGCAACCCCAGGGCCAGCTCCTTCGGCAGAAAAGCCGTCGACCTCATAACGCCGGGGGAACGGGGGACGGCACTGCGCTCGCGGCGCAGGAAGCGCAAAGAAGCGACAGACGCTGCGGCTCGCCGCACCGTTAACGGTCAGGGCCCCGAAGGCTCGTAGCTGCGTCACAGGGGGCTGTGCAGAGGGAGGGAGCGCCTCCCG